AAACCTAATTGATATTACACAATTGTCTCAATCTATTACCATTAGCTATGCTATTTGTGGCTCTAAAGGATTAAAATAAGAATTTTTTAAATTATAAGGACTAAAAATATCAATTTTAAATCTGAGGGCTGTAATTGTTAGATTAAAAGACAAATTATGACCCTTATAAATATGTCTTACAACTTATTGTTTTAAAAATTCAAGTTCATAATTTATCAACAGATAACATATAAGTTCTCAACTATTCAACATACAACATAGAATCAATTTGTAATTTCACTAGAAAGAATCTTAAGTTAACTATTCAACTACATAAAAGTCCTACCAACCATATACTCAACATAACATCAATTATTATCAGCCAATTTAAGGTTCCAACAAAATAGAGGATTGAATGAGCGAGCCATGCTTGTTGAGCGATCCAACTTCAAGAGAGGGAATCTCGTTCAATGAGACCCTCATTGACCAATCTTATATATTGGTCTCTTGACAATGACTAGGGCTTGCTCAGCCATGACCTATGGCTTAGTAAGCTTCAAAAAATCAAAAGTGGTATAGAACATTCCTTTCTCAACAAAATTGCCCCACTCAACCAGTTTAAGTGGCACACATATAAGAGGTGAAGGCTAGCTTAGAGAGTTCATATTGCTAAGCAAACTAACCTTAGCCAACATGTAGTGGTTCAAGCTTGCTTATTGAGCAAGCGCCACTAAGCAAAGCTTCATCATGTTGAACCTATTCTCTCCTTGTTTCTTTTCTGCACAAAGGTTGGATCCACTTTTGAGACTTAATCTCAATTTCAAAAAAAGATCTTGATGCTTTTTGGAGGATTAAGTGAAGAAAAGGTGTTTGTGGTCCTACAAAACCTTTTTCTAGTTTCTTTCTAGAAACTTTGAAAAAGAAACTTACTAGTTTCCAAAAACCCTTATATATCTCTCCTATTTCTTGGTCAAACTTGATCTTAACTTAAACTACACTTTGGTTATGATCGTCGACTATGAAATCCATCATTCAATTATTTAAGAAAATTATTTCTAGATTTATTTTTACATTTTAAAATGTTGAGTTTGCATGTCATACTTGTAATTTTTCTAAAAGCCATAAACTCCTAGTAGACAAGTTTGAATAAAAACATTGTTCTTTTTGCTTTAATATATTCTTATATGTGTGGGGACCTTCCCATATAACTATTGCATCTGGTCATCATTAGTTTGTAACATTTGTTAATGATTGCATGTGAATGACATGAATTTGCTTGATGAAGACTAAAGATGAGGTATTGCAAATATTTCAAAATTTTCATGTCATGATTCAAAACCAATTCTTAACTAAGATTCAAGTTTTTATGTTAGATAATGGAAAGGAACTTATTAACCATTGTTTCAAAGTGTACTTCCTACAATATGGTCTTATTCATGAGATCTTATGCTCTTAAACCCCAAAACAAAATGACATCATCATACATAAAAATTGTCTTATCATGGAAAACATGTGTTGTCCTTCTTTACACCCATCTTTCAACTTGTCGTTGGTATAATGTTGTGACTACTCTATTGTATACCTCCTAAACTGCATCGCTTTCAAGGTCTTGCATTTTAAAACTTGCTACAAGTACGAATACCTACTCTATTAGTGCTTTAACCTCGTATTTTTATGCATGTGATTTTTGTTCATCTCAACAAGAACCAATGCACCAAACTAGATCCATTTGTTGTTAAGTGTTTGTTTTCTAGTTATGGATTACACAAAAAGGGCTACAAATGTTTTGGCCTACTATTAACAAAACTCATCATTGTGGATGTAACTTTTCTATGCTCCTTAGAGTTTCTCTTCTAGGGTTTTCTCTACAAGCATTTTCAAGATTTAGAATTGATGTAAAACTTGACCTAACCTTCTCCTCTCATTTTAATAAAGCTCTAGGTTAGGCTCAAGAGTCCAACCTAAAGACTCCTTTCTAACCTACTAATTATTTTTATTTTATTTTATTTTATTTATAAAAAAATCTTTATTTATAATATAAGCTCAATTAAATAAATTAATTAACTCTATATTATAAATATTATTTAAAATAATTTTATTTTATTATTTATTAAAAAAAAGGTTACAAAATTTAAAAAAAGTAAATTACTCACACCCCTTGTATTAATTTTTGAGTTTGCACTCGATACCCCTTTATCATTTGACATTTCTTTTACCCCCTTGAAGAAATTCCGTTAAGTGATAGTAACAGTTTAAAGTTCAATTATGGCAATAGCCTAACACTTACACCCTTATTTTTGAAGGTAAAAACCAGAAAGTCTACCTAGTTTTAGAAAAGAGAAAAAAAATAAAGCTAATTGTAAGTGTTTTCTTATTTGATTGACTATTATTTCAGTTTACACGAAGAACAATGATAATAAGTGTGAAAAGATGATAACGATAAGTGCAATTTGAGTTTATACAAATACTATTACATTTAAAGTATAGTTTTCTTACTTATCTTTTGTTGTAAATGTAACGCTCTTGTTCCAATTTGTTTTTTTGTTGTATGTTGTTGAGTTTATAAATTCCAATTTTTTATAGTTTGTTTCTTGGATCAAATGGGGTTTTAGTATGGGAATAGTGATTTGGGTGGGGACCAATATGTCTGTTATGGAAGGGATCTCTAAGGAACCACTAACTTTCTTGCACAACTTTGAATTATTATTCTATTTCTTGTTTGGCAACAGGTTAGAGGATGAACAACTTGCCTTATATGGGTCGTCTACTAGTTAATGTGAATATTTTTACTACAACAAAATTTGTTATTAACGATAATTATTTAATGACAATAATTTAATTATCACTATATATAAAAATATTAATGGTTAATATATAATAGCTACTAAAAATATATTTATATTACACTAAAATTTACTATTAGCGACAATTATTTATTAAAAAAAACTTAAGTCCCACATCGATTAAAGATAAGATAATTAAATAGTATATAAGTGAGTAATAACTATCACCTTACAGGTTCATTCTATAGGGTTGACTCCTAATTCACTATTCTAAACTGGTATCAAATCACCCATTATTACCAAATTCAATAGTGTTATAAAACAATTAGAGAGAATCCATATCGAGTAGAGATAAAAAAAGTATATAAGTTATGAATTTAGAAAAGAAAATTATAGGAATAAATTATTTAAAGTAAAGGAGAAAATTGAAAAAAATAACTTTTAATAGCCTTTAAAATGACTACTAAAATTGCCACTAAAAAAATAAGTTTTTCTGACAATTTAGTAGATCTTTACCAACATTTTATATAAATGTCGATAATAGTATTAGCGACACTAGATACACCAGCCTTTATTTAAATGTTGGTAAAAAAAATAATGGTCATTTATATGACTACTAAATAATAAATTAATTGCTAAAAAAATTAATTTTAATGTAGTGTTTGGTCCATTTTATTGAGAAGAATGGTCAACCAAATGAAATACGCAATGTGGATCCTGATTTATTTGGGATATTTGATGAATATGACGCAATTAACTTGTTGGCAAAGGATAAGGGTTTGGAGTCGTGTCTTACTCTCAAAATGATAACCCTCAAACTAATTAAATTTTAGAACAATATGCAACCACCATTCAGATACTACAACCACTCTAATCTTTTTTAATGATATGTTTCATAAACTCATCCTTTTTTATTTATGAAATAACAAGTGACACAACCAAATTCCCAACCTCTAGTTGTATCAACAAGCAAGGGACAAAACACTATACAATGTGCACATAACCAAACTAAGAGCAAAATTAGACCCTAGAGGAAGACTATCTATTAGGTTTTAGGGGTCGTTCGTTGTGTTGTATTTTGATAAACAATATCATCACTTTTTTTTATTTTTTATTATCTTTTCATATAGTTATGATGTATAACTATTTAGAACGTGGCATGTTATTTTGGGTGTATGTCTCTTGTCAATACATGTGTGCAAGACCATAGTTTTTTTTTTTTTTTTTTTTTGTGTGTTTTTCAGGGCAAGCCTATTATGACTACACAATGTATAAGATAGGTTTCACAATTACGTTGTCTTCTTTTATAAACAATGTTACTAACTTAGTGAAAGTTTTTCTTTACTTGGCCTAGGTGAGATTTTTGTTCTAATTATTTGTAACCAATTTTTTTAATTATTTTGCAATCATTTATTCCAAAATTTTTGTATGTTTTCCTTAGTCTGGAAATCCAAAAACTTAAATTTTGTTGGAGTTGAATTTGTTTCAAAAGCCATTGGATTAATGGAGAAGGTGAGAGACATTTTTAGAAGAAAAAATCCCTTAACATTCATGTGCAAGTGACGTGCTTAATAGACTTACCAATATTTTTGAGTTAGGGGTTAGTGTAATATTTTTTCAATTTTTAAGGAGTTTTATATAGATCTAAATAACGGAAAGGTAACGGGTGCAATCTCAAAAAAATACATAAAGTGTGAGTGTAATTTACTCAATTAAAAACTTAAATTATAAAGATAAAAAAAAGTCATGTTTTCCTTTTATCAATAGATTTTATAAATAGATATAAATTGAAAAATATCAAAGTTTTAAAACAAACATAATTTAAATCTAAACATGAAAGGAATCTTATGTTTTAATGTAATTAACATATTAAAATTAAGAATTTAATGAGAAATATTTAAAATAAATAAAAATTAAAAAATTAATTATTTACCATATTAAAAAGTAAGTGTCATGTCACGATATGCAATCCGTATAAACTAACAAAATTTTATTAAAATTAGTGGGTGAACGATTTAATTACAATATTTTTAAACTATAAAGATGTTTTTAGGGTGTTTTAAACTATAAAAACCTAATTAAAAATTTGGCAAAATTATAAGGACCAAAGGATTAATTTAACCAGCTAAATATTATAGTTTACTCCAGCTTTTTTGAAACACATACAACGATGACACCAAGCTTCAAGCATTGGCATACAATTATTTTATAGAAGAGAAAAACTTTTTTTTACCTAAGCTAATACTTTATTCCTCCAAAAGGAAGAAAGCTTTCCTTGTAAATTAAAACTTTAGAATTATAATTTACTCCTCTGACACCAATCTCCTTAGACATTTGAGTCCTTAAATCAAAGCAGTCGAGCTCACCATCCTCTTTTATGAAGAATATATCACCCTTGTGTCCCACACCAATTGGCAGCTCAAAACAAGGTAAAGGGCCAATGGTGAAGATTTTGGTCCATGATTCCTTGACACCAATCTCTCCCAAAATTGATATGTCAAGGCAATTAATCCAGAGGTAGTTTGAAATCATAGCAATGGACCCATTGAACACCGCCAAGTATCTATTCACAAATTCAGCATTTGTGGGGCAACCTATTGGTTTGTGGAAAATCTCATTGTTCATGTCAAATGATATCAATAAGTCTTCTTCTGTTCCTATGTCATGGTGCTTGGTGCCCCACCAATGCAATGACCCATTCAAATTTACCACAGAACCCATTGGTTTGCATATATGAGAGGCACAAATCGGACCAAGATCAAGTTTTTTCCAAGAGTTGCCTTTCAAGCTATAAATTCGCCAAAAGTACACTATATCTTTTGAATCATCCACAAAACAAGCTGCTTGCTGGAGAAACTTATAATCATCATTGACATGATCATACCAAAACCCAGGAGTGTGTACCAAAAATGAAAAGCTTATACCTTGCCCTTGGGACAAACCAAAAGGAATAACCCTAAATTCCTTAGTTGTAGGGTTCCATAACACAACATTTTCATCCCCATAGCTGCCTTTGCTTCGAATGAGACCAATTGCACCATTGACACAATAATCATGAATTGCAATAAATTTGACATCCTCCTCTAGACAAGGAGGTGGCCAATCTAATTTTACCTTTTTCTCAAACCTCTCACCGGAAATCCAAAGCAGATCTGGAAGACCCTCTGAGACTTGTTGCCATAGGAGGATCGATGAACCATCGTTGTCTTTGGATAACAAGTTTTGTAAATAAAGACTCAAGAATTTAGGGTTTTCAAGAAAATTTGACCACGAAGTGTGCACACACCCGAACCGATTTAAAGATTTCACGGGTAATCTTGACAAAATACTTAGTGCAACATCATGAGGAATACTGATGTTAATAGTATTTTCCTTCTTGTTTGTGGATTGTTCCATTTGTAAGTATAAGTATTGCGTTTCAAAACAGAAATGACAAACTCAATGTATTTGAGTGGTTTGGATTTTAAAGAAATAACTAGTTACTAGAAAATGATCATCACAATGTGTTTAGGATAGATAAGGGTCTGTGAAGGAGAGAGAATTAGAGTCTAAGAGAACACAGTATGGATAAGAGAGACTAGAGACATATTGACGAGGTAATGGTTGGAGTTGCAATTTATAGACAATATCAATTTCAGTTTATTATTAGTCATTTTCAAAAAAAGAATTTTATTTCTTTTTGTAGAAATTTTTTAAAGTGTGAGATAATGTAATCATTTATTATTTTCAATTAATATACTTTGGTCTTTAATTAATCTTTTAAATGCTTTAAATGTTTATCTTAAATGTGAGAAAAAAAATAATAAATGAAATAAATATGTCAGAAGTTAATTAATGAAAGGAATAAAAATAAGAATAAATTAAAAATTATGTTGATATAAAAATAAATGATATTGATTGACCATTGACCCGTAAATACTTTAGATTGAGTATTTGATTTATAAGGATATAAATGTATGTAAACAGAAAAAAAATGTTTAATGCAATACTCGTAAGTATTTAATGAGTTAATTTATATATATATATATATAT